ATCGGATTCGTTCATTCATGGCTTCATTTTCTGAGAGTTTTGTAGACACATATTTATTGTGTATTTGACTAATAAAGTCGTTGTTAATCTTGCAGTCACAGGCCGTCTTTATCTTCTGATTTTTCGCGGCTCAGTGAATCAGAAGGTACTGAGGGAGGTCAGTCGTAAAGGTATTCAGTTGAGGTGTCTATTGAGTTCCAGTATCATTATACCTATGCCCGTAATTCCACTCAGTCACAACACATCCAGTGCTAAGGTCTTACAGTATGATCCTTGAAGTAAAGCTCCTGGTGCAAGGTGAAGTAATCTTTTCCTGGCTTCAGGGGATTGTGGTCGATTTTAATCACCTATATTGTGTACTGCGATTCAGTTACATGGTACGGTTTGTAAGCACAAAAGTGGTCCGCATGGAGCCTATGGTCTAGCTCAATCAGTTTCCTAGTGGTATTTTTTACCCGGATTCTAGAAGTGAGATGATCCTTATTAAGTAAGGAGATGCAAAACCAAATAGCTATTGAAATGGAGGTTCGTAAATGTTACCGTCGCGAATAAAAAAGAGTTGACAGAGTATTGAACCTGATATCATACTACAATATAAACCGTCTTTTGACACATGTAGGCTTCATGTTTCCAGAAAGTGATCGTAAAACGGTATTGTGCATTACCACTTTCTCTAACTAACACTTCAGTTGATACTTCCACCCCACGACAGATAACGTATAGAAATTTCAACAAGATTGACTGGGGGACGATGTGTCCATTGACTAGTTGTATTGACTGGGGATTATACCTCACCACTACTGATCTCCAACTAGCACTAAATCTATTTGACTACAATTCCAACACCATTGTCCTATTGAAAGGTTTTAAAAAGTGTCTCAGGCCAATAAGTCATTTATACCTCCAAGCCTTTGCAGAAAGTTACGCAAACTTTCCACGATAAACTACCGACATCATAACTTCAATCGATTCTTAATGTTTTGAACTTTATTTTGCATACAAACGAACATTGAATAGAGTAGTGCGCAAGCAGGCTTATCTAGAGTATATGCTGCCCCAGCACTCCTTTAGAAGGAATCGAATAACATAAGACGTAACATTCCTCTTATTATTATTATTATTAGTCCCTTGGGTTCCTAGTGGAACATAGGGCTTCAGTAGCACGCCTCCAGTGACCTCTGTTCTCTGAGATCTTTTGAACCTGGTCCCACGACAGCCCACAACCTCTCATTTCCTCCTCGCACGACCTCCTCCATGTCACCCTCGGACGTCCAACTCGTCGCTTCCCATGGGGACTCCACTCGAGCAACTGGCCTGACGCGTGATGTCCTCCGTCGGCCTTCTCAGTGCATGCCCAATCCATCTCCACTTCTTTCTGCATATTTGTTGGGTGATAGGTTCTTGGTTGGTTCGTTCCCAGAGTTCCTTGTTGTTAATTCTTATTATTCTGGCCATCTGAGCTTCAGTAACAAGCTAGTTTAGGCAGTTGTTGATGAATATCTGTAGTTTGTTGGAAATGCTTTTCGTAACCCGCCAAGTCTCTGAACCATATAGAAGCACTGACTTGACGTTGGTGTTGAAAATCCGTATCTTGTTCCGCATGCTGAGTGCAGAAGATCTCCACACTGGTTTCAGGCTAATGAACGCCTGTCTTGCTTTTCCGATTCTGACTTTGACGTCCTCGTCCGTCCCGCCTGTAGTTGAAACAGTGCTTCCTAGATAAGTGAAGGAGGTTACTTCCTTCAAGTTTCTCCCGTTGACGGTGATTGGAGTTTGTTATTGTTGGTAGTGGTGGTGGTGGTGCGGTATCTTCATCACTTCTGTCTTCTCTATATTCACCTGAAGTCCCGTCTTAGCTGCCTCTTCTATCAACTTGTTAGTTTTTGCCTGCAGATCTTCAAGTTTATGTGACATTAGGCATAAGTCATCGGCGAAATCCAAGTCTTCTAGGTTCTTTTCCGTCGTCCAGTGTATCCCCCTCTTCTCGCTGCAACATTCCTCTTATGCATGACACTAAAGCTTACAATATACATACGTAAAATATTCAGCGACTTATTTGCAGGCGGTTATCGAGAACCTACAATTCTTTCCTGTGATGCTAATACAGTCTGCCCCATAAAAACTATTCTTCGCTTACAATAAAGCCAGCCAACAGGTACAATTGAATTTACATGTAATCTTTTCACACATTTACAGTAGCACTGTAGGATGTAACAGTAAGAAATAATTTTTTACTACATGGCTTCCACCTTCGTGCAAAAATAACTGTTATGAAGGCGAACTAGCTTTCATTTCGGCCAACAAAATTTGTGTAGACAGTGTTGTTTCATAGTGAAAACGGTGAAGACAGGTTTAATTACTCTTCATATGGGGTTTTGAAAGTGAAAGACACATTAGATGTTGCATGGAACATACTGGTGAAACCCCCACTAAACTCTTATCCCAACGGCTGCATTAAATAAGTAAATATAAGTAGTTCTTTGACAAGGACATATTAGTAAAAGAAGATGGTAGTTATGTCACTACGTCAGTAATCTGTGACCATTTAGTTGTCATTCGCAACACATTTAAATAGTTGAGATAGACACAATCGAACATTTTTAGCTTGATGATGAACCACGTCTAACGAACGTCATGACATGGACTTGACATTTGAGTAAATTTAGACCGCTGCCGAATTTGAAACAGCGACTACTAGGTTCCCGAACATACCTATCTTCCTCATAGCTCAGTTGGTAATGCATTAGGCAGGAAACACGGTGGTCGCTGGTTTGAATCCAGCCATGGTCCGAATCCTCATTTCACCTCCAGTCATCACTCAGTATCGATACTGATCTGTTAAACTACAGCTATCTCAGATAGTCAAAATGTCATACTTTGTTGAAACTATGATTATGATTGTAAAGCTTTTGAAAATGATTCATTGATTAGAAACTTTTCTTTGCTGAATTGGCTTTTGTTAATTTTTCATTATCAGTACACCATTTAGTTGAAAACCAATACTTCACCTGTCTCCTTCTCCTGTTAGTTCGTGATATAGCGAGACCATCATCCAGTATCATGGGATAGCATCTATCCTCATACTTTAGCTGTTTCACTTTACAATTCATGACTACTTAATAGGAATTTGAGAAATCGGTTTTAAAACACGTCACTAAAGACAACTGGATTGTAACTCACTCTCTTGGTTTAGGAGACTGATTGAATTAAAGATAGAATTCACTGAAGAATGGCATCAGTTGGATCATCGCTGAAAACCAGGGGGTCTGTAGAAGCATGAGGTAGTGAACCAGTGGATTTAAACCCACAATTAGAATGGTAGCGTGCCCGCCGTGAAATCGGGCAGATGAGAATTTCTTCCATTGTTAAGCCATGCATGTCCACTAGAGAAGTCTCAAAGTATGATATTAAGGCTTTCCAGTGCCCCATGTTATCACTAATTGCGGTCTAAATGATGACATTCTTTGATAATAAGAAAAGACTAATATAGAATCAACCAACTCTTGTGAACCACTATGAAAAGACGCTGAAATACTACCGCTATATTCTAGTTTCTGAAATACTACAATTGAATTTGTAAAGCATTCCGTCCAACAAAGGCTTTATGTGTTGGCTAAGACCAGAAGGAGCCGGAACAGAATGAGCTCTACTGTTCTTTACACAGGAATCAGTAGAATTTCAGCAGATAAATTATACTACTCATTACTTAAAAGTAGTAAGCATCCTTATGCATAAAAAAAGACGGAAATAGAAAATTAAGATGGATCAGGAAAAGCATTAGCAGTGCGTGAGAGATATGTTCAATACGATAGAATATTATCAATACTCAGCATCCAGTGAGTATGACGGAGGATATTTTCAATGAAAACAAGGACAAACAGTAAAACGTAAATAGGAGGGCGTTTGCAATACATGTGTTAGCACTGTAATTTAATGTTGTGTAAACACTAATTGGTGATAAGAAAAATTACTGATATTGGACATATCACAGCATTTTAGAGACTGTATAGAAACAGAGTACAGGCTTAAATGTATTTTCTGCATTAGATTCTGTTATATAACTAACGACTTCATCCGGTATAGTGTTCAATTGTGTAGATGTGAATTGTAGCGAGACAGAGGAAAATATTTAACTGGAACTTATGCATGTCCTAGTGAGACACTAAACACATTCTCTGCAATTAAATTACATTCAGTGTAGCCAAGTAAAAAGGGAATCAATGTACAACCTTGTGTACAACTGTATCAGCTCAAGGTGCTACACTTCACCGCAGTACACAAAGAACAACAGGTGCACAGAAAAAGACTAATATCAAAGTTATGTGACATAATAAACAATCTGAAGGTAACGATTTGTGCGAAAATTCAATTCAGTTAGTGCATAAGTGGAATTGTGACTGATTTTCAGTCACCTCACCAATTACTGATTCTTTTCGTCTCAGGGACCCCAGCCAGGCAATCCATATCTCTCAACACGACCCAGACCAACAGTTAGAGACTTCATCGTCTGGGGCCACGTCCTCACTTGGTCACCCTGAACCCTCTTCTAACCTAATCCAACTTTCCCGAGCATGACTCGTTGAGATGGGAAGTGGTTCGGCATGCACAGTACATGTCTAAGCCATCATATTCGACTAAGGTTCACAACATGGTTAATCCGCAAATGATGGTAGGTCACACTTATTGTGTAATGACTTCAAATATGACCTGGATATCCGAGCAGGGTTGGAAACTGAAACTCAGCACCTGGAGATCAGAAAGACACAGCTCTATAAAATCAGGCTATATAAGTTCAAACAGGAGGCCAAGAATACAATTACACCGATATTTTGATCACATCATTCCAACTGTCGACCTCATCTGGTTCATATACTCTGACGAAGTAGCCCACAGTCTCTAAGTTCCCAAAATACGTTTAACCAGTAATTAGTGATCACATGAATCAACATTAGCTATAACAAATTAGATGCTGATTCTATCAGGCGCAAAACAAAACGCTATTTTCATTCAATTTACTATTCATTCTATTTGCTATCATATAACTATGCAGATAATGTACAGCAATCAATAGAGGACTCGAACTGAGCAGTGGGGTTAGTAAAAGTCTGAATAATAAACATGATAAATCACCAGAAAACAAGAATTCAATAATAAGTCGGTTGAATATCGGTCAGTGAATTTTTTCTTTAATATGTTGGGCTTTTTTTTGTTGAGCTATGTCATCTTTGTACTTTCTTAGCTCAATTTCATCTAGCCACTTACGTAATGATTCTTTCAATTCTACATGCACACACAAAACAAGAAAGGAAAAGATGACAACACAATAACCTTGGAGTTTTACATCAACGTTTGTATTTTTGTGATTAACTTTTAACATATAAAGTATAGACAATGTTTTCAGAAGGAGAATTCTAATATCTTGTACTCAATTTGCATTCATCACCGACTAAATTGTCGTCTATTGCTAATTAGTGACTTTCTTCTAGATAAGATTTCCTAAAGTACTAGTGAGAAGTCATGGTCCATGTGGCAAACCAATTCGGACATGAGAACAGTTAGTCAACGAGGACAATGGATGATGCTCCCGCTATATCGCGAAATGAAAGAAGTAGGGAAATGTGGGACACTCGAATCGCACACAATGGATTCGACCCCTAGCAGGGTCATGAGTGCGCGCTTCTGAGGAGTCTGGCCTTAGGGCTAAACAGCTGTTCAGTACTCCGAGGTTATCTGTGATCCTCGAACCTATGAATACCAACTGAAAAATACTACATAAACCCCCACAAGCGTTCAAACTGAATTAATTTGCACTTAGTTTTCTAGAATCCAGAGAGATCTGGTACAGCTGTTATAACTCGTAATACGTCAGTATATTACCAAATAATAGGAAAAATGCTGCTGATTCGAAGTTTGCATCCAAAATAAATTTCAATCGGCACATGGGTAAATTATTCCCACCTTTGTATCTTTTATGCATTCAATTTCATGCTACTTATTATTAGCTAGTAGTATTGTTGTCATTACCACCATTTTTTCGCCCTTAACAATTAATATTGGTTATAACAGTATACTATTTTATTTCCAAATTCTAATCTTTCTTCTTCGGTTCTAGCGTTGACGCTTCCTCGTCTTCTATACTTCGCTGCACAGTCTGTACACATATCCAATCTTAGAAATCTTGTTTATCTCGTCAGTTTTACATTTTTATGTGCATTAAGGATACCTTATCAATGCAGAATATTTGCAATCCATGTAGGGGGGCGGGATGTGTTTTAGCATTGTTCTGCTTCCTCAGTTGAATGACTGAATGATAATGATCAACAACCCAAACAGCACAGAATTCAACAAGAAGTGAGTTTGCCCGGATTCCCATATGATTGATTATTTCCACTATAATCTTGTGATTGTTTCATGGATTTCATCCCCTTAGTAAGACTGGATAACGTAGTGAGAACGCCATTTACAGCATAAGATGATGTCAGTTTACTTCATAGGATTTTCGTCAGCTGGTTATTCCCATTCATATTCATATTGACTATCGTTTCATTACCACCACTGTATTGCTTATTTTTTTTCCCCATAATTTTATCTCACCCATTCATCATTTTGTAAAGATAATACTCTCGGCATGATTACGTAACCACTTCCACTGATTTCTAAGCTTATCTCATTAATTTGTGAATACTCCTCACCCCGCCCCATACAGTATGCAGCTTTTGAAATATTGTTTGATGCGGCAACAGTCGATGAAACCCCTTACCGTTTGTCTGACGCCTATGGGGAGATGCAGACGGCTTGGATGGAGCCCCCGAGAAGATGGGAATCAGTGGCTGAGGACTATTTATGACGTGGCTGAAAATCTATCACAATGGTGCAGATTTACTCACTCCTTGACATCTTTGAAAGCTTGAATATTTGCACTAACCTTTACCTTCAGATTGTTTATTCTCTCACACACAACCTTGTTTAGTTCGATATCACTCTTATTTGATCCGCCTGTTCATTATATAATACCATGAAGTGTGAGGACTTGAGTCGATAGACTTGTGTGCAAGGTTCTATGTTGATTTTATCACTCAGTTAGCTTGGAATTCTTTGTAATTAGGATGAACAATTTGCAAGTGATTTACAAACTGTACAGTAAACGTTGGCATTTTTCACAGTTGAGTAGTTTTTTTTCAACTGCCCAATTGTGGTGTTAACAGGATTTCCTACGGAAACCTTTCAGACAAGATCATAGGGCGTGATCTCTGGCATAAAAGTCTCAACTCTTCGGCTCTGTCTGTGTCCGAGTACACCGCTGATGAGCTCGGCACCGAACCAGGGAAACGATCACTCGGTGCTCAGGTCACTCTGATTCGACTGATTACTGAGTGGTTCTTAACTGCTCATGTTTTTCAGTAGTATATTTCCATAGCTCATGAGCAATTTTATGTCAGAAATAAGCCTTCTGATGATTGATTGGGTTATCTTCAACAGAAACCTTGTTGATACTACAGTTGGCCAGTTGATTTGTAAATCATTTATAAATTGATCATTCTAATTCAGGTATATTGGTCCACGCAAGTCAGATTCAGTTGATTTAAAGTAATTCGAGTGTATGAGTTGAATTTGTTTTGGTACACCAGTGATAAGCTCGAAGTCAAACGAGTAAAACGGACTTTTGGTGCTTGGATCACTTTGATCTGGAGGTACCTGAAGAAATCTACAGATATGCTTGAATGGGTCCTAACTACTCATGTTATTTGGTAGTATATTCCGATCTTTTGTATTTCCTCTACCCAAGAATTCTACATTCTCTCAAATTATCTATATGGAACGAAATGAACGAAGATATATCATCGTATCTCCATGTCAGTTTATATTCATGTAGACAAACATGATGATTTTTACAGTTTATTTCGTAGACAACGTTGGGATTGCCTTGTATCACGACTGTATTTTTGTGCCTGAATACAACATAAAGCAAAGAGATCTTGTAGGCTTGTGAGCTAGAAGACATTCCCAAATAATTGGATAATCTAGTTACAATCTTCATGATATTCTTAAACTACAGCACGAAAATCTGTCAATTCGTTCCAAAGGATGACGGAGAATTCGATGAAATGACTTGATGAATAGCTATTCTTCGGAAAGAAAATAACTCAAACATTTTCTTCCTCTTCCTCTGTGGTTTTCATATGTTGCTGGAATGTTATTGAGGATTTTGATTAGTGTAAGCTGATTTTTCAAAAATTCGAGTTTTCAGATTCAATCCTATTGGTTAGTATGTCTCAAAATAGGATCTTCTTTTTATCTGCTTTTTCAATGATTGTGAAGTTGATATTTTCGAAAACGTTGTTGATTACTTCTAAGCAGGTTTCAATTTTAATGATTATATACGCATCATTATATATGCATATACAGTAATCAGTTCAAATGGAAGCGGTTTCACTCAAGTTCTTTTTGTCTTTTTCTTACAGTTTGCCGCTGAATTGAAAATATGTTGTAATAAAATAAATTATATCTATCCAACTTGAACTTTGTAGCTGCGTGTCCTGCGATAGATGCGTATCATTGTCCAGGAGAAGAGTCATTACATCCTCGGTCAGTTTCACTTCCACTTAGGTATATAAGATTGTAAAGTCTGAGGATACTAGCCAGTTCGTCGTCATCAACACTGATATTCCTAATCTTCTCTAAAAAGTTACTTGGAAATTTGATAGAGTGGTCACAGGTTTCTACCAGATGCTTCAGTTTCTTCAAGAGTTGTTTCGACAGACGCTGGAGTCCATGGAAGGCGAACAATTGATCGTAGAAAGATCTTCGATTTATGCAGCTTCGCTTTACAGCATAACCGTGAAAAAATTGCTTCATTCCCTATTTGGTCTTGGTTTGTCATTTATCGATTTTACTTTTCCAACCAATCTGATAATTGCACATATGATCACGTGTTTTTTTCTTGAAACTTCGAAGTATGTTGACTGGTTGTGAAAGATTTCAGGGATCTCGACCATTTTTTAAGGATAAGGACAATCACCATAGTGAATATCATGAAGGAGAAGGTATGCATTGATGACTGAAAACTCTTCGTGATATGGCTTACAATAGACCAAAATGGTGCATATATATATATATATATATATATATATATATATATATATATATATATATATAATATATGAAATGGCTGAAAATGGAAACAAACAACTGGAGTAGACATTTCTGAGCTTTAGATTTTCATCTATGCTGCTGTGCGGTCAGAATAAATCTTATTAAACGATCTCATACTTCAGGGAGCCAATCAGGAGAAGCTATTTTATCTTTGACCTAGTGCATTCTTATGCTCGTTCTTGAGGAAATGAAGTCGTTCTCACCGTTACAAACCAATCTTTGTTTCGTGACATTCTGTGGCCCAGTGAACAGTCTTTACCGTGTTCAGTTAAAGTGTCACATTCAGTATCGTCATTATATCAGAGTAATATCACCCTCGGTTACCCTTAAGTACTCCTTTCGAATAGTCTAGAGAAGTGTGATAATTTGAACTCATACATTTCTGTGACAGGTTCAATACTGAAACTTCTGTATAACACTATACTATACTAGGTTGTCCCAGCTTTTTTAAATAATTCAGACAGCTTAACAAGAAGCCAAAACTTCACTTGACTGCAGAATGGGTTATAACATCGTTAACAGAAATATTTTCGCATTGTTCACCTTAAGTAACATTGCTTGTCACTCAGGTGACCTAAACAGGATTCTTCCATGCTTCATGTGACTAAGAATTTAGCTAAGTTTTATATACAATGAAGTTAAGGTCTATTCCCCAGTTAAGTAGAGCGCTAAGTCGGTAGTCTGAAGGTCGCTAGTTCATAGTATCCTGACCATCATATAGAATTTCATTTCACTGTGACAATAAAAATATTTCTCCAACAATAAAATTACAACTAACCAGGAATATTTGTGTGATGTAATGCAGAAACTAATTCAATCGACTCAAATTTCGGAGTTGCACGAGGTAACAGTTGTGAAGGCAGTTTTGAGTACTTTTTCGCTTCAGGTGAATCCATACGTTCAAGCCAGTGTTTTGTCTCTAATGCTTCGTCCATAGCACCAGGAACATCAATCTGAGTAGTTAAAATGTATTAAGACGAAGTGTATATAAGAAAAGCATGTATACATACATATATCGGCAGTAGAATAAGTACACCCCTTCCTTGTCCCGCGATCGCGTCGATGTGATGATCAGATTTACATAGCACTATGACACAACGAATTATGCTGGCTTAAGCAATTGCTTCCTGAGGTCATAACATACCAAGAAGGTTTGTTGGATAGTGAGGGTTTGAGGGTGAAATTGTACTCCATGCTGTATAGGGTATGTGAGGTGCTTCACGTGAATGATCAGCGCTCCATGCTGATACTATTGAAAAGAAGGGTTAGGAAAAGTTAGCCTTAGAAACAGAAAACTCGCCTCCACCGTGTAGGTATAGGCATAGGAATAGAGTTTTAGGGAGAAGAGGTAAATCAGTTGATGAAATTGTGAACCTTCATCGACTGAGATGGTTGGGACATGTACTACGTATGCCTAGTCACCAACTGCCTCGTCACACAATGTTAGCTGAGGTAAGTCCAGGCTGGAAAAAACCTGAGGTGGTCAGACTAAAACATGCCAACAGTGTATGAAGTCTCTGACTGTTGGTTTGAACCATGTATGGCGATGCAGACTAGGTGGTTGGGGTCTGTGAGACAAGAGGAACCAATGGTTGGAGACTCTAGGTGATGGCAGGTGTATACATACATTATCCTCATCTTAACCACACTATACCGAATCTCACCACTTTCTCATTCTTCCTTTCTTTCTTCTCGTACTTTATATTTCTTTTGACTGTATTCTCTTATCTTCATCCTTCACCTCACTACCTTTCTACTTGATGTACTGACATGTGATGTGGCAACTCGGACCGTTACGCTGTAATGCCTGGTCCTATGTTGATATTGATAACGATGATGATGATGACCATGTATTCTTCCGATGCCGACGGTTAGAGTTTTTTTTACCCCAGATGAAAGACAGTTGATTCCAAATTGAAAATTCACCAAAACCTTTTGTATTGCCCACCTCAAGAAGAATTAATCTTTTATGATGTCGGTAACTGTGAAGTGTTACACCTACTCTCTCACATACCTCTCTATTTTAGCAACTTTTGACATCATAATACCAATTGCCAATAGTCAGTTTGCCAACAATTCATAAAGACAAACCAACTATACATAAACATAGATTATGAAGCTATTTGGTACTTGAATAAGAGTAGAAAATACACTTATCCTCCTGTAACTATGCTACTGTTTACGATAGTTTCTGCTAGTACGCTTACTAAGTGATAAAGAGTAAGACAACTAAAATGTGGCCCAATCTAACAACCAAGCTGTAAAAACATTAGACTGTTGATGTGAAGAACATCGGTTCTAGTGTGATTACGACCTCTGTTTACGCTGATAATTATATCTACTGACCAATGTAATCTCAGATGAAAGTTAGTAAGGGATATGAAAGTATTATTTACTGGATGACATTTCGAACACATGCCAGGTAATTCACAATGGGAAGCTCAGTGATGCCTTTGAAGTGAAGACAGGAGTAAGACAAGGCTGTCTACTATCACCCATGATATTCCTGATTGTGGTCGACTGGACCATGTAACAAACAGTGAGGAGTGAGAAGAGGGGGATACGCTGGACCCACGAAAAGATCCTAGAGGATTTGGATTTCCCCGATGACTTGTGTCTAATGTCGCACAAACTCGAAGATCTACAGGCAAAATCCAACAAGTTGACAGAAGAGGCAAGGCAGCGAAGACGGGACTTCAAGTCAACGTAGAGAAGACAGAGGTGATGATGATACCCAACCAACGCCACCACCAAAAACAACAAGCTCCATTCACCATCAATGGGAGAAACTTAAAAGAAGTAGCCTCTTTCACCTATCCACGCAGCATCGTTTCAACTACAGGCGGCATAGATGAGGACGTCAAAGCCAGCCAGGATCGGAAAGACAGGAGTTCACTAACCTGAAACCAGTGTGAAGATCTTCTGCACTCAGCATGTGGAACAAGGTTAGGATTTTCAACACCAATGTCAGTCAAGTCAGTGCTTCTATATGGTTCAGAGACTTGGCGGGTTACGAAAAGCATTTCCAACAAACTATAGATATTCATCAACAACTGCCTAAGCTGGCTTGTTACTGAAGCTCAGATCGCCAGAATAATAAGAATTAACAACAAGGAACTCTGGCTGCCTGCCAACGAACCAACCAACAACCTATCGTTCAACAAATATGCAGAAAGAAGTGGAGATGGATTGGTCATGCACTGAGAAGGCCAACTGGGGACATCATGCGTCAGGCCAGTTGCTCGAGTGGAACCCAGATGGGAAGCGATGAGTTGGGCGTCCGTGGCGAGGGTGACATGGAGGAGATCGTGTGAGGAAGAAATGAGAGCTTATGGGCAGTGGTGGAGCCAGATTCAAAAGCTCGAAGAGAACAGAGTGCACTAGAGACGTGCTACTGAAGCTCTATGTTCAACTAAGAACCCAAGGGACAAATAATAATGATAATATAGAATTTTCAACACAACTTACCACTCATAATCATATATCACAAGGTGATCAAATAAATTTCTGACTTATCTATTTTTTTTTTAATAGTTCCACTATTTTTCCTAGCTTTGATTTTATCGATACAAAACATTTTTGTATATCTGAGACCAGTATTAAATCATTTCTAGTGTACATGTGTCCATAGTTGAATCGATGAATTAAACATTCAGTAATGATTAACCAATTATTACATTATCTCGATCTACCTATTTTATTCTTTAAAACTGTTACCACCTCATCCTATTGTATTGAGTAGTTGTATGACATTATATACATAGTTAGTTATGGTTGACTTCTCTTCTAGAAATTCATGATTGTAAACTTCACTAAGTTGCAATAAGCTGATTGACTCTGATTGGTTATTATACGGTATTCTTTGGATTGAATAACTTTGTCTCTGAATTAGTTAGTAGGCTTGAATGGAGCTCTAATATCAGCCTTATTGACAATTTTAATTAGCGGTTTCTAATGGTTCTTTTGTTATACGCCAACATAATAAAGGCTTTGAACTCTTTCTTCAATGTATCGTATTAATAATTCTCTTGGCGAATGGTTGAATACATTTAAGCAGATAGTTATTGAGAAGTCGAGTTCCCCTAAAGTGGTTTACATCTTTATTACTAGTTAGAAATTCTCTACTTATACGGATGCTTTGATACTTCCTGACTATTCAATATATTATGATTCATTTGCTGGCTAGAAGTAGAATAAAAAAACACACGTATTTCGTCCTATTTACGACTTATCAGTTGAATATACTTTCATCCTAGTGAGTGATAGTGTCCCCACTGAGACTCGAACTCAGTACTCAAGTGAAACGAAAGATGGACCTTGGTTTCCGCTACTAGTTGGAGCGATTATCTAAACACTAAAATGATTTTCACTGATGTATGGTGAGATGATCTTAAGTCTAGATATCTCCTTGGATGGGGTGTTTTCCTGCAGATACGTCCTCATAAAATCATTGTCTTTTATATCATAATCCAACATAGCTAATTCTTGTTTTTCATCTTCAAACTAGAAAGTTAATTTGATTCTACCTATAGCTGAGTTAGTGTATGAAGAGATAATGGATATGTTATCATTTCAACATAGTGGAAGGATGATCCAAATATCTTCTTCATAGCTTTTGGGTTCCCAGAAGTCAACACGTTTCAAACTGTTCATATGTATGTTACGACTGGAGATATTGGTGATCCCTATTGCTACTCCTTTCATTTGTTCAAATATTTCACGTTGAAATTGGAAAACTTTGAGGATGAAATAGAAACTAAATTTCTAACGTGATATCTTCAACCAGCTACCTTAAATTCTACGCGTAAGCATAAAATTATCATTCATTTTGTTCATCATAGCCTACACAACAACTCTATTGATTGACATTGCTCAGTCTGGGACTACCCGAAATAAAACTGCATAACAATTCAATATGCCATGGCTTATATCAGCACATTAAGGTAGACAGCACCAAGATGAACGATAGAGAAATAAGAAAGAAACGGACCAAAAAGGAACGGAAAGTCAATCATCCATCCAGATCAACCTAGGACCAGGCATTACAGCGTAACGGTCCGAGTTGCAACGCCACATATCAGTACATCAAGTAAAAAGGTAGTGAGGTGAAAGATGAAGATAAGGAAGTTCAGTCAAAAGAATTATAAAGTAATAAAAGAGAGAAACGAAGAATGAGAAAATGGTGAGATTCGGTATAGTGTCGTTAAGATGAGGATAACACCACGGAATACGGCCTATACTACGAAGGCAACGGTGGTCAAACACCTGAAGCCTTCTCATGTCTTCCACGTTCCGTGGCCATGTTTCACAATCATACAGCAGAACAGACGGTACTGCTGTGCAGTACACGCGACCCTTAATAGACAATCGGATATCACGGTGGTGCCACAGGTAGCGTACGTTGGCAAAAGCTAGCCAGCCGAGCCTTTTGCATTCGTGCAGAGATTTCATCGGCCAGTGAGCCAGCCACCAGGGCTGATCCTACTTCTTAGGTAAGTGAAGTGGTCGACACACTTAACCACTTCAGTCTCTATCATTAGCCGAGGTACTGTTGAAGACCAATTCTGGAGCAACAATTTGCATTTGATTTGTGACAAATGCATCGCAAACATTCTCAAATTGCCACTCAAAGTGTTCAGAAGACTCTGCATCTTGTCAGCGTCTTCACCTAACAGGACAGTCAGTCAGCTTAAATCTGTCTACACGGTACAGATCAACGATCATAGACTAAATGAACTGATGCCATATCTTGGTCTACCAACCCAATCTTGCATTGGTCAACAGCGCACAACGAGGAAATCAGTGGTTCCAGCATAAGTAACACATGTAAAGGTCACCTCAGTCAGTGAAGCTTCACTACGTGATAGACTAGCTGAGCCAGTACCTTCTGCCTAACTTCTACATTGTTCATACAATGATTTCACTACACGTGAGTAATGTTACGAAGATGCCTGTGTTTGAAAACCTGTAACCTTCCAACGACCATCTCGCATAACCGTATAACACGATAGAACGGACTGTAGGGCAGTATACTCTTCGTTTGATAGGTAGTTGAACATCTAATTTGCACTGTAGATAACGCAAGTTGGCAAATGCCAAGCTTAATCAGTCACTAAGTCATATAAAAATGAATTAAGCATATAAAAAAAAAGTGTGTATATACCTTGTTTAAAACACACGAAATTGGCTTTTCAAGTAGTAGACCATTCGACCAACGCTCCATTTGATGTAGAACTAAATAGGCAACAGCTAAAGCATTCCGTCTATGACTAATTTGATCTTTACAAAATCCAAGAGAATCTAATACAAGCAGAATGCATGAACTACGCTCAACATGTTTCAAAAAATTGGTATGCCGTAAACTTGGAAGTGAAGAGGAAGAAGAGGCAGCGGCAGCAGTCGAGGAATTCGATTTACAATTACTATGTTCTTCACTATAATTATCATCAGGAGCATGACGAGCGTATATATCAGCAAGACCTTAAGAAAGAATGAAAAAGATAGTTGAGAAGATATATTCAATAAATTTGTTTAATTTATTAAAACAAGTTGTTATTTGAGGTTGATTTGAAATATTTTCAAGATACAAGATGATGTCAATCTACTTAATTAGCAGTGGGACTGATAGACAGAAGGTTACACAGCCGAACTGACCAACTAATGTTCAAAAGTGAACTACTTCTGTTTGATTCGTTTATCCAATCATCTAGAGTAGCATGAAAATGAAGACTTAATGGGGGAAGAAATTTATAAGCGCCAGAAAATTTGGATGTTGCAAGTATACACAATAATTATTCAAAAAGTAGTTTTCATTATTCAGTTGTCGAATGCCTAGAAGTAATGAATAGCTGTTTCATTTTGATTTTGGAATCTTCAGCATTGTGCACTCTCATGAGATCATCAGAGTTGTGAGAAGGGTTGACACTTCCCGACTGCACACAACGCGAAAGGCTAGTTGTCCTTGAAGTACTTGAAAAAAAATGCTTAGTGCATCACCATAGAGTTCAAAGGACATCTGCTTGAGGTCGGCCATACATGACCTTTCGGTAAGTTTGAGATATCGGTTTTTTCCTTTCGAATCTGACTATGAATCCATGTCACCGGCATCGGCATATTGCGGAAAGATGCGAGTGTTTTATTTTTGAAGCCAATCTTTTTTAGCCCCTGATGCCTTTCTATAGGGAAAGCAGCATCAGCGTGGCAGTGCTAGTCATCCAAGAGAAACACCTTACTGCTGTCACACCCCATCCAGCTAACAGCAGTATGACTTCACCCTTAGACCCAAATAGTAGTGTAGTAATTTACACTACAATGGTAACTACTTTGTGTCTAACAACTATCCAACAAAGTTTTCTTGTATGATAGGACCTCGAGAGAACTAGATTTCTGGCAGCAGAGCTTGTTGGGTTATTGTGATATACAAATCTGACCATCACGTCAAGGTAGTAGCTATCGGTCAGGCGGGGAGGAAATTGTTATCCGCACTCCTAAGGAGTTTCAAATAAAGGTAAAGCGGATGTACAGTCCTCTAAGATTTTCAATGGTTCTTAGGCTGACGTTGAAATACAATGGAAATTCCTTTGAATCCAATTGGTTCCTACAAACCACCTACAAAAAGGCTTCTTGAACCTACTAATTCTAGTGGATAATGGCTTTGGGGTTGAAACTGAAAGCTATTGGCTTCGTTTTCTATCGATAGGAAAGTGCATACTCACAAAGATGATGACCTCTAGATGGGATGACATGTAAGTCATTAGTCAAGTGGTATCACAAGCGTGTCCTTGTTTTTCTTTCTGACATCTGCACAGAACTTGAGATTATTTGAAAGGGAAAAAGGATATTTGATATTTTGCAGCTCCGAGAAGTTCTACATCATCATCATCAGTATCAACATAGGACCAGCCATTACTGCACACAACGGTTCAAGTTGTCACATCACATATCAATACAACAAAGTAATAAGATAAAGGATGAAGAAAGAGAGAAAAATCGATCAGAAGCGGTAGTAAGCAGTAAAAAGAGAGGAAAGGGAAATGAAAACACTGCTGAATTCAGTATAACAATTAAGATCAAGATAAAGTGCGGATATATCTGCGCCATTGACGTCGATTCTGAATCATTTCATCTAGAGTCTCCAATCGTTGCATTATATGGGCCCTAGCCAGCTAGCCTGCATTTTCCTACATGGCTCAGATCAACAGTCAAAGAGTTTGTGCAATGATGACATGTTGTAGTCTGTCAGCCCCGAACCTTTCCCAGCTTGAACCTACTTCTACAAAAAATTGATCCCTGTTGGACAAGAGGTGGTTATCGTGCCCCAGTAGGTTAGTGGGTAAAGCTTTGGCGTTTGAAGAGATGATTACTGGGTTTAGTCACTGGGGTGCAGGTTCATCCTAAGTGGGATGAAACACACTGCTAGCCACCAAGCAGACATCAATATGATACAATAATGATATAGAACGATCAGATGTCAAGGATGAGTATTTTTCCTTCCTTATATACTTAGGAAATATAAAAGTGATATATAAAGGAAAGGAAGCCAAAAATAAAAGCAGGAAAGAGAATAACCAGAGTGACAGTCTCAACGATACATTTTAAAGAGGTATTTATTAAAATCGTATATCAAATAGCTCGGCAGCAAAGGCACTGACTGCAGCACTGAGTGACGCAGGTTCGAGTCTCACAGAGAAATTCAGTTCCCTCTTAATTGCGGATATCCCTTACTGATGACTCCTAGCAAGCCCGAAACCAAGTTCGAACAGGGATTCCTGCTAATCAACTTTAAACAACTACCATCCATTAAAGTGCACAGTGATGCTGAGTCTCCTGCTAGCGTGGTAGTCGATTGAATTCGGTCAACACTCAGGATGAGACAATATGAAATTAGTTGCCTCCCACCCCCAACAGTGACCACCAATCAATGTTCATTACTTTCTGTTTTCTTTTCAATAATAAAAGAAACAAGACCACTACATAATGACTGGTATTGACCTCAATATTTGTCCGTATCTGATAACGTCATTGGCAATTTATACGCATTGGATGAGAGAAAATTCCTGAGTTGTGGAAAGGGTTGGAGGGGACGGGGGGGAGGAAGCAGACAGGAGTGTAAGAGAAGGGGGTTATATTAAAGTGGTAGTAGGTTACGTAAGTGTGTAAAAACTAGGAAAAACTCAGGACAGTAGTGATTAACAGTCAGTAAGTAATTAATGAAGAGGTGATGTAATCGAAAACAAAAACTATATATTTCGATAGCGTAATTAGAAGACGAAGTTTATTTGAACAATGTGATGTATTTGCGCAATACGTTTCGAACAATCTGATGCCCCACACATTTACTTGTCAAGTCAATATATATTAAGCCGAGGACTGGGAGGGGGGATAAATACAACAATTAACAAAATAGGGGATTAAAATTAAGAAAGATGAGGACAAACAGGAAGTGATATAGTTGGTCCTAATCTTGGTAAGAAAACAAAGTTTACCAAGGGGTAGGTGTAGTGTACTAACAAACTGTTTTTGTACACATAAAGGCGGTTTGAATTTGTGCATGGCTATGGCTTCCGTAAATCTCAGAATATATACATAAACAAAATTTAGGTAAACAAAGGTTAACTATAAGTCTCTTTCTGGGTATAAAGGTTAGTTTGGAAATGTTTGATGGCGAAAGCTTCTGAAAACTATAATAAACATGGCATTCTTTGTTTATTGATTTTCCTGAGAGATTGAGAGAAATATCTATTTGATGTCTGGTTTCTATCAGGTGCCTGACGACTGAGCTGGTAAAAACCTTGCTGCTTATCAGACAAAGATTTCACGGACTATGCTGGTAGACTCGAGTATACTCTCTTCTTTCAGTCCTTCTAATGTACTTGCTTCTATAAGCACATTTGAATTAATATACATAGTGAAATGAGTTGGGTATTTGTCTACTCGAGACTGTTATTCAGCATACTGGCAACAGGGAAGCTCCTTCTCAGTGCAACTTTTATTCTTCTGTCTATTCTTACAGATGTCTCATCACCTTTGAATTCACGATGAAGGATAAGAGGTTTCTTCTCAACAGTTAGATGTATAAATATATCAATAAATGTCTTTCTATGCTTCGTAATGGATTTCTTTGGACATCCTTTCTCTATAAGCGTCTTCTCAACTATAGCGAATTCTTCGTGTTTGTCTTTTGAGCATAGCATTCTTATCCTGGTGAAAAGGTATCCTGACAACTTTTCCAACCACTAAGTTGTATTATTCTCTTGACCTCCAATTGCTTAAAACTATAAGTGATCAACTGATGTCATTCATTTCACTGCACTGCATTATGAGATAACCATCATTTGTCTCCTTAGTCTTAGAACTAGTGGTAAGGGGTTTGGTAGGATGACATTTATAACACATGACGAAGCAGACACCTAAACTACTATTGTTTCACAATGAATTCATTCAAGGGACACCGTTACGTTTTATAATTATTTATATGGTGTTTCTTTCAAATGCTAACAGTCGAACGCTCAGTCAATGAACATATTCACCATAGAGAAGTAAGGTTCTGACAGCGCAGAACACACAGTACAATTAGTGCCACACTCGTTTTCGACATACAAACGAAAGGCTCATCAGTAGCACCTCAACCAGCAATAACACACATCTATCAAGACACAAACATATCTATTACTTTCTAGGCGTCTTTAGAAGATGAGTAGAATTCTGCCAAAGGGGAGGGGCAAGAAAAACAAAAGTACCAGTAACAACTATTTCCCAAGATCTCTCTAGACAGGGTATATACATCTATATATAAATGGTAAAATTAAAATGGTTTATTCAGTAGCAACTGATTGATAAACAGGGTATTTTTGGCCTAAAGGTAGGAGGTTGCGTGACCGCGACAACAGGGTAAGACAGGACGAATCGTTATGCAATATCCCAGAACAGTGGACCGATGTACAGGTAGAATCGACGTGGAACCTCGCACACAGCTGCATCACTTCAAGTTGCCACACTTCACAGTAGTAAACAAAGAACAGGTGCACACAAAAAGATTGACATCAAAAGAGACAAAGTTGTGTGAGAGAATAAAACACTTGAAAATAACAGTTAGTATAGATATTCAAGCATTCGAAGATGTCAGGGAGGGCATAAATATACGCTACTGAGACCGATTTCCACATATGTCATCAAGAGTCAGTCCTCAACCACTGACTTCTTTCGTCTCGAGGACCCCAACCCAGCGGTCTATATCTCCCCACACAGCTCAGGTCAACAGTTAGGGCCTACATAGACTAGTGATACATCTTGTTCTGATCACTCTGAACTCTCTTCGAATCCAATTAAACTTTTCCTAGCATGGCATGTCAAAGTAGGCGGTGGCTCGGCGTGCGCAGCAACTATCCAAGCCAACTCAATCGATGAAGGTCCACAACCTCATCGAATAACTTCCCTTCCTGTGCACTGGAAACCAGCTAACTAATAAGGTAACTCTTCTAGTTAATTGCTATTGGATAGAATGTTATTCGTGGTCTTATTTGTCTTTGCTCGCTTATTTTCAGCACTACATCCTTTGTTTAGTTCATAGTATGAAGTGAATATAAGATTTTGGTTTGATATATGAGCGACTGCATAAAGGCTTGTTTATGTAGCTATGGATGACACCTACTGTGTAAAGGTTGGTAGTGTCACCTGATTACTTCGACTCTATATCAGGCAATGCAGATACAATTCACAGCTATGAACGTATTCATTGTGAACAGAATTTTATCCACACAACTTCAAAAGGAAAGAGAGAAAGGAGAGGGGGTTAGAGAAACATTACCTGGTAAATCTGCCAAACTGATTCGTCGATGATCTGAATACCTGCAACAGGCAATTTGTGGTTTGATAGTGGTGAATGCATAGCTGGCAATTTTTGCTGGTGCACCGGATAAAGCTTTCAGTAAACTAGATTTACCAGAGTTTGGAAATCCTATCAGACTGTAGTCAGCCATAAGCTGTAATGAAAAAAAAGTGGAATTGTAAATTTATTTTTAAAATTTATGAAAACTATGTTGTGACGTATTTTCAGTCAGGGGGGAGGACTACCTGACTTGGTGACGATTATTGTCGCTTTGTAATCCAACAGATCAGTACAGCACCAGGTAGTATGTGATAAGCTACACTTATTTTCCAGTCGTGAAGCTGTTTGTAATAGAGTAAAGCCTGAAGAGGATCTAATTGAAAAGAATTTTGTCTTGTTCAAATATACAATAGGTGTTGGTGGTGGTATTTGTTCAAATGGAGGAAATAAAACACTATCGATCAACGGATAACCTAAAAGATTTATTGATAAAAATCTGAAGAAATAAATGACTCTTCATCCTATTACAGTTTCTAAGAAAATCTTAACCATGAATTGGGAATTCAAAGGAGACACCACAGCCGAAGTGCTGAAAAACCGTCTGTCAAAGTGTATCAATAGTAGCTTTTGTGCTGCTAGACTGAGATTGGTTTTCTTCGGCCACCGTCTAATTCGACAATGCATGAAGGATAGGCTACTACTATGTGGATATCTACAAATTCACATCCTCCTGTGGAGCTGACTATATTGAACGTTGTAATTGGGACCTCCGAAAACCCATTCACTGAACATTAATTACCCCGGTTTGGCTTACCAAAGGTTAGCGAAGAAAAACAACTTCATCCATATGTGAATACCTAGCTGAGTCATTAGGTCATTCGGTACCTCGAGATTTATCCTTTAAAACAATTTACAAAGTTGAATTGAACCACTTTTAAAGTCTATGTTTCCAGCACTTATGCATACTTGAAGCCGAAACTTTGCATTCATAAACGTTTCGTGGAACCACTTTCTCTACCTTAGCCTCAACAATTCCTATTCACCAATTTTCACTTCATTGACAACATTTGACCCATATTTCACTACTTAATATCAATTCATTGCATAATCATTGACCTATTTTGATTGGTTCAGTTAAATTATCACCGTTTTACAATAGTTTGTCAACATGTGTCTTTTATCTGACCACTTGTCATCAATTCGTTCTAGCTTATTCGGTAACCCATTCCCCATTTCTTCCACTTGAACAAATACCATCACCTACCTACACCGATTGTATATTTTGCATATTGACTGAACAACTCCCTTTTTAGTGCAATTATCTGTTATTTTACCGTGTATAAATACAACTGTACAACATGATAATGAAGCTGTTGAAAAGAAAAATATTTCTTCGATGATGCATGTCTTGCTCTTATCCATAAATAATACTGTTCTAGGCATTTTTAGATCAACTGAACTTAAGATGTCCCAGTACCAACTTCAACTCAGAAATAGAAACAAAAAACAGGGGGGGGGGAACTACCTCTCCTTGATTGTCTTGTTAAGCGGAAAGAAAATGAACATCTAGGTATAATCATTTCCAGGAAAGCAAGGGATTCGAACAAATATTTAAACTTCAACTCATCACATTCAATTAGTGTGAGAGTCTCTGTTGCTTCCAGTCTCTTAAGCAGAACACACACTCTTGTAACGGATAAGTTAAGGAATTAAAATATGTGAACAGGGTACTTAAAATGAATAATTATCCAGTGAAATTTATTCATAAAATAGGGAAATAACATTAAATTACATCATGAAACTACTCCTAAATCATGCGCCTCAACAATAGGTGGTTACCCCTTACAGATCACATACATTGAATGAAATTAGGAGAGTGTTCAACAAATACAATATCATCGTAGTGTTCCACAGAACATCAAACACATTGTATAGAGCACCTTAATTCATTTCAAGGATGAAATCCCTCTACATTCATAATCTAATTGTCATTTTCAAAAATGAAATGCTCAGACTGTGATGTGATATACATAGGCAAACCTCCTGTGAAATCAAAATCAGAAAAAAAGTGAACATCGAATAGTTTCCAGTCGATCTCCTAGAAATCCAGTGGAAGTGAAAACACTTGAAAATATATCAGCCATATCTCTACTGCCCATCATTTCAAGTCACCAGGTTGACTCATTGACAATATCGACATTATTCAGAAAAGCATTAGAAATTATAAAGAATGTCTTATAGCACAATCTCACAATCACATGAAGTCGAATCAAATTTTCTGAATAGGAATGAGGGAATGGAACGTAGTTTGATCTGGTGTCAACTCATCCCCGTATACTGACATAACCATCATACATCAAGGTGATAAGAACTATCAGCGCATGTATGTACACACAAACCTCAATTTATAATTCATACACAACATACTATCTATGGATATCATCCTTATTCTACAGTTCTGAGAACATAGAAACATTCATGCGAAAGAACACTTGTCAAATTATCCAATGTAAGCTTAGGGGATACTATAAATTCCGCTTTACTATAACTTTGATAAAGTTACTGGGCGATGATTACAGGTGAAACGAAGATTTGGACCGCGGTTGGATTCGAACCAGAGACCAGTGAGGTTTCCGACTCGATGCTCCACCAACTAAGCTATGAGGTCCGACTGTTGACCCCATCTTTATTTCATTTCAATCACTTAGGGTTTTATCCGACCACCATATGAATTTGTGGCGCGTTACTACCGCTTGACCGTATTCATACTGGCTGCTGTCTAGTCAAGACTTCTCATACTAATCCACATCTAACTGAATTAGACAGGTGATGGAGCATCATATTGATAATCATTTTGACTATCTGAGTGAGATAGCCGTCGTTTGCCAAACTAGTATTAATACTGGTTGATGATGATGAAGATTTGAACCGCGGCCGGATTGAAACCATTTTCAAATTCATTGGAAAGTACAAATAGTAAAATAATGAGTACTGTCCCACTGTGTGATACATTTAATAGATCAACTAAAATGGAATTACATTCTACCACGGTGCTCAAGTTTTATTCTCATATTAAAATCAGCTATGTTTGTTTGTAAAATATAACTGAACTAATCTATAATATTTCTGTATGGTATATTGTTAACTTTTAAGTGAATACTGGTATCGTGTACTCTCTAACACTAATTTACTTTATTCTTTGTCCTTTGGGTTTCTAAAGGGAACATAGGATTTGAGTAGCACGTCACCATTTCACTCTGTTCTCTGCAGTCTTTTCAACCTGGCTCCACGACTGCCCACAAGCTATCATTTCTTCCTCACATGATCTCCTCCATATCACCCTCAGCTGAGACGCCCAACTCTTCGTTTCCCATCTGGGTTCCACTCGAGTGGCTGGTGCATTCAAACTTTCGAAGATGTCAAACGGTGAATATATCTACGCTGTTGTGGTTAGTTTTCAGCTGTTTCACAAAGAGTCTTCAACTGAATACACCACACCTCCATGTACAGCTTAGATAAACAGTTAGGGATTTCATGTCTTACTCTGGTTACCCAGGTATTCGTGTGTATACGTTAAAATCCACTGAGAATCAGAAAATTGGATTTGATCATGTGTACTACTTGAAGTGTACAGGGTAACTGACACTTTCGTCTGCCCACAACCTTAGAGGCTACATCTGCTTCAGGTGTCTGAAAAAGAAGGCTTAGTGTGTCACCGTATGGCCCAAAGGACATCTGCTTGAGACCGGTAACACACGGCGTGGCACTGCTGGTCATCCAAGGGAAATACCTTACTGTTGTCACACCCCATCCAGCTACCAACAGTACAAATTCATCCTCAAACCCCATCATAACGTAGTAATTTACAGCATAATGAAAACTGCTTTTGTCTAACTATCCAACAGATATATGGTAGAATTTCGGGAGAATAAATGTTCCACCAGCATAGATTGTTGAGTCATTGTGATATACAAGCCTGACCACCACATCAAGTTAGCAGCTTTCGGTCGAAGAATTACAAAATAGGAGTACATAAACCTGTATATTATTCCCTGGTGGTATTCTTGAGTAATATACTATTACACACAGAAGTGCTTGATATTCATATGAGGTGAATTAACGACGAACATATTGCGTGTAGATTGAAATACTGTTGTGAAACACATCAAACAATTTCTTAACATTAAAAATTTTCTACCGGTTCCATAATAACACACTAAACATCAACAATACTATACAGTTACTCAATTTAAAGGTATATGGAGAATTGTTTGATTATTACTAGTGCCTTAGTCGAAACCAGTCAAAGGACCAGTGAAGATCTATGAGTACTGAACAATTGTTTCGTCATGGCTTTGAACTCCTCAACAATGTGCACCCACAACTTCATACAAGATTGAACATAGAACCGTCGGTTCCCACGGCAATTGCATTGCAATTCAACCATGTGGGTTGAAATTCAATGACTCACACGTTCTCCAACTCCTGTCAATTCGTGGTTCTCTTATTGATGTCTATCCGTGATGAAAACTTCTGTTAAGTATGCAAATGTATCCAGGCGTATACAATGGGAGAAAGGAAAGTGAAGTAGAATAGCGATACGAAAAATCTGTCCATGGTGAAACCAAAGGTTTAATATCTAATCAAAACATCGTTGACTACAGCACTCGGTGACGCGGATTCGAATCTCATAGGGGATATCACTTCTCTAGAGGTTGTAGATAAGCCTTGCTGAGGAGTGTCAATAAGCCCGAAAACTAAGTCAAGCAGCGATTCCTGCCGATTGCCTCTAAACAACTAACATCCACCAAAGTGCACAATGATGCTAAACCCCACCTCCTAGCTTGGTGGTCACATTGCAAAATAATCGATAGAATCTGGTTACCCGAGACAGTCGAGAAATAATCAAATCACAAATGTAAACACAAAACTGTTTGGTAAAACAGACTATTTTGTAAATGTTCCATGTTAATCACTAGTGTTTGTTAGCCAGAATTAAACGACCTGCACACTAGATGATAGTTTCAGCGTAAATATTATCAATAGTGTAGCAAATTAGAAAATAAATTTCCTGAGAACTATTTGAACACTGTTGATGAGTTTGAATTGTAGACAAGTACCCATTATGTCTCACTTATTAGGGTGTGTTGTGTAACTTTTCTACACTAGCAATTTTGTCATCATTCATACCAGTTAAGCAGATTATAGATTATGTTTTGAAGTTTTGGACCTTCATCAACTGAGGTGGCTTCAACATATGCTATGCATGCTCAGCCGATACCTTTCTCGACGTACCATACTACGTTATGTTGGATTAGGTTCGTAAAGATTTCGGAGTGATCAGAACAAGATGTATCACTAGTCTATGCAGGCCCTAACTGTTGACCTGAGCTGTGTGGGGAGATATAGACTGCTGGGTTGGGGTCCTCGAGACGAAAGAAGTCAGTGGTTGAGGACTGACTCTTGATGACATATGTGGAAATCGGTCTCAGTAGCGTATATTTGTGCCCTCCCTGACATCTTCGAATGCTTGAATATCTATACTAACTGTTATTTTCAAGTGTTTTATTCTCTCACATAACTTTGTGATGATGATACTAGTGTGAGCGAAAACCTGAGTCGTGGTAAGATTTCAACTGGGGACCTTTTCAGGTCACTAACGCAGTGGTTACTACCACCGTCACACCACAGACCAGAGTGCCAGGACGATGACCTAGAGGTTGATAGTTTGGATGAATACTGCAGCAAAAAAAAGTAGAACGTTCAACGAAAATGACTCTTACACCAAATTAACATACAGTAAACAAAAAAGCAAATCAAGAATGATCACCTTCAAATCCAACACAATACTATGCGCTTGTCCAGGTGAACCAATATAACCATTTTGACGGAAACCACCTACACCACCCTGTGCAACAAGTAACTTTTGACCGGGTTTGTCTAAATTTCCAATGACTCGTTGTTCTGCCCCACTGGTTGGTGAATTTCCTTGACCACCGAATAAAACTGTTATCCCAGCAGGGACTCCAATAGTCAAATCTTTACCATTTTGTCCGATAACTAGACCACGACGTTTACTCGCCTCAATTCCGTGTTCTGCCTATGAATGGAAAAACAATTAAAAATCAAAATCAAACTGATGGAATAAGTATTCAAATCAGCTTCAACGAATTGATCGTTGACGATATCTCAGGTCGGATACAGAAGGCCACTTTAACATCTGACAACCTATAGCATCACCAGTAGTTGGCAAGATATATGACCACCTGAAAAAGAAAGAGAGTACTGTGCTTCAGTCCTCTGTGTCATGTTATACGAATGTGAGATATGGTCGTTAAAAGAAGGTGTGAAGAGACTACAAGTGTCTTCATAACAGTGCACACGTTTGGTGGGATCGGTATATCAGCAATGTAGAGATAAGGTGAAGGGTACTGGGTAAAGAAAGAGAATCAGTCGATGAGGTTGTGAACTTTCAGCGACTGAGATGACTTCAACATGTACTGCGTATGCCGAGCCACTGTCTGTCTCGACACACACTCCTAAGAGAAGTTCGATCAGGTTGCAAGAAGGCTCAGGGTTTCCAAACGAGGACGTGGAACCAGTCAATGAAGTCTCTGATTGTTGCTCTGATTCGTATGAAGAGGTGTAGACTATCTGTCTGGGGTCACCGAGATGATAAGAATCAGTGGTTGACGACTCTTAATGATGTAGGTCACAATGGAGCAGATATATTCACTCCTTGATATCTTCAAAAGCTTGGATGTTCGTACTAGCCTTTATCTTCAAACGGTTTATTCTGTCAGACAACTTTGTCTACTCTGTGATATCCCTCTTTTCTTACCCATCTATCTATTCTTTGAATACTACTGTGAAATGTGATAACTTGAGATGATGCATCTGTGTGCGATGTCCTAGTCACCGATTGCCTCGTCACACAATGTTGGCTGAGGTGGGTCCAGGCTAGAAAAAGGCCTGAGGTGGCCAGACTAAAACATGGCACCAATGTATGAGGTCTCTGACTGTTGGTTTAGGCCATGTAGGACGATGCAGACTAGGTGGTTGGGGTCCATGGGACAGGAAGAACCAGTGGTTGGAGACCCTAGGTGATATGGCTCAGAACCGATGTCAGTGGCGCAGATGTATACACACATTATCCTCATCTTAACAACGCTATACCGAATCTCACCATTTTGTCACTCCTCTTTTCTTTCTTCTCGTACTTTATATTTCTTTTGACTGTATTCACTTATCTTCATCCTTCACCTCACTACCTTTTTACTTGATGAACTGACGTGAGGTGTGGCAACTCGGACCGTTACGCAGTAATGCCTGGTCCTATGTTGATAATGATGTGCGATGTCCAAGGTTGATTTTATCTACCTGACTATGAAAGGAAGCCTTAGGTATGGAGATTGAAGTTAGACTCAACAAACCCTACACACACACACATACAACTATGGAGAAGGAATAATTCACTCATAAAAACTGATAGTTGATACAATGAATAACCGTGATGATTAGCATAATTAGACAAAGATGAGACATTTCATCTGTTTTAAGAAAAATAGTGAATTCATATTGTTGATTACAGTAACACTGTGGATAAAGATGAAAAGTTCACTTATAAAAACGCTAATATGAAAGCCAGTTTTAGTGACCTTATTGCAAAATTATTGATGAAATTCTATCAACATTCAAGATTAGACAACATGAAACTGGTTGCTCTACAGCGATTAGTCTAGTCATACAGAAGTTGGACTGTGGCATGAATAGTTTTAGTAAGACCTCTGACGTAAGCTCAAACCTTTAAGATTACAGTAGTTCCCTTGAATTCGCGGATAAGCTACGCACTAATGATGGATCGTGGCTAGCAGTGGAATCCAGAATGCGCATTTCGTCCTACTTGGGACTCTTCAGCTGGATATACCTGCTTCCTAGTGAGTGGTGTTGTCCCCACCGGGATTCGGACTCGGGAGCGATCGCTTCAAACGCCAGCGCGCGTTATCCACTGCACCACCGAGCCACGATAGCCACTTCTTGTGCGACGGGTATAGTTTTAGTTTTATTGCTTGTATTACACCGTCACTGATTCGACCGAATTGATCAGTCTCTGTTGGCATATGGGCTCCTGTGAGGAAGCAGGTACATCCAGCTGACGAGTCCCAAATAGGACGAAATGTGCATCCTGGATTCCACTGCTAGCCACGATCCATCATTAATATAATTAGAACGCAGGCAATATCCAGGCATCCGCACAGGAGCCCATATGCCAATAGAGATCGATCAATTCGATCCAATCAACAACGGTATGATATAAAAACAATTATACTAAGCTACGCATTGCTGAAAAGTTCTACAAGCACAGGGCTTTCTGCCGATTGCCTCCAATCAACTAACATTATAAAGAGTGATTACATCTACACTACTGTAAACAATTCTGGGTAATACCACTAGGAGTTTCTAACTATTTCCTGCGCATATCTCGAGTGCCCCCTGCCAGGTACCCTACACTTCACTACATGGTTCACGCAACAAGCCAATATCCTTATGAGTTGGTGCTACGTTTTGGCCTAGTAACGTCAAGATCTCTTCTACGTTGGTCCGAGGTAGGCCAGTATAACTACAACACTGAACTATCCAATGAGATAGGCTGGGAGTGAACTGACATCTAGGTTAAACACCAAGTAAAAAAGCACTAACCGACTGTACGGAAGGGGTGGTTATCACAATTGAACACGCGTGTAAACAAGTCCAAACGGAAAGATAAGAAATCCATCTATAGTAAACTTACAAAATCTGAACTAATAATGTATACTCCGGTAACTAAATGGCAAAGCCTTAAACACCTCTCCAACTAGTTGATATTTTTGTTCGCCTGCTTATATCTCATCGCTTTGAACAATAGTCTCCCATTTGATGAACTATGAATCCGAACCCTTATCTACCTACTTTAGTTATGGTGATTATATAATATCACAAGACATTACTAAATCTGGGTCGTGATTGCTTCAATGACCATCTATTTTGATTGGTTTGAAATGCTTGTTGGATGTTAGGAGTTCTACTTGATTTACATTTGGTTTTTCTTAGCATATCTGACTGATCGATGCACTTTAATCAGTGCTGGTCACTGAAAACTAGCCAGTTGGATCGGTTATCCATTTTGTCACTCCTCTTTTCTTTCTTCTCGTACTTTATATTTCTTTTGACTGTATTCACTTATCTTCATCCTTCACCTCACTACCTTTTTACTTGATGAACTGACGTGAGGTGTAGCAACTTGGACCGTTACGCAGTAATGCCTGGTCCTATGTTGATAGTGATGATGATGATGATGGATTCGCATGCATTGTCCAGTCACAATAAAATCTAGACACTTAACTTCTAACTGATGAGTCACGGGCTCAAGCCCACCTTCGTCAACGGAAGGTATTTGAGCAGCCAGGTGCTATTATTAACCCTCTCAGAGTAAATGTGACTCATTGCCTACTGCACGAAAGTGTAGATGGTTATTCAATACATTTCGGTAGTTTTCCTTTGCATAGCTGTCTTTAGTCTTTGTTTGCTAGTTCTCAAACTTTGTGAATCGCCCATATACGGTGGCGTGAAGAATATATCTCTTTTTGAAACTAATTGAACTCTTTGGTCAACATTTCTTTAACGACTGATAAATTTCAGACGATAACTTATCTAATCTAATAATACTTTGATAAGGTTTCATGTCATTATGCATATTCTTTGAATACGCTTGAATAGGTACTTGTCAGGTGCTTGTTTATACTGAAGTGAATAGTAACTATGATAATTTAGTTACTGTCTTGTTTATGTATATCTGCGATATATGAATCATTTTATAGACTCATATCGGCAGTGAGTTATGAGATAACCAGTCATCTTTTCTTAAGGAGATACTAATGAGGGTTTTATTCATTCGACTGAGAATCGAAATAGTATCTTTCAGCTTCGCATATATAATTATGTGTCGAGAGAAACATTGCAATCAAATTGTAAACCAGATTCTTAATGCGTGATATACCAAAATTTGTTAGCAAGGGAGTTACACGGCTTACCATGATCAAACCACCACCTATCTGGTGGAAACTTTTGGTCTAAAGTGTAAATTTAACAATAAATTTACATAAGAGAAGGAATATTGTTAGTAGAAATGTAATCATCAACCAATAACATCTCATTACCAATTTCTTTTCTTTATCCTAAAGAGCTTCTTCTATATACCAGTTAAATTTACCTTCGAGGGTAAACATAAGAGAGTTTAGACCACTTCTATGTATTCAAAAACAATTCGTTGCTATATTAAACCCCGTTCGGTCAACCAGAAGGACAAAATCAACCTAGGACATCGCACACAGATGCATCATCTCAAGTTATCACACTTCACAGTAGTATTCAAAGAACAGATAGATGGGTAGGAAAAGAGTAGACAAAGTTATCTGACAGAATAAACCGTTTGAAGATAAAGGCTAGTACGAACATCCAAGCTTTTGAAGATATCAAGGAGTGAATATATCTGCTCCATTGTGACCTACATCATTAAGAGTCGTCAACCACTGATTCTTATCATCTCGGTGACCCCAGACAGATAGTCTACACCTCTTCATACGAATCAGAGCAACAATCAGAGACTTCATTGACTGGTTCCACGTCCTCGTTTGGAAACCCTGAGCCTTCTTGCAACCTGATCGAACTTCTCTTAGGAGTGTGTGTCGAGACAGACAGTGGCTCGGCATACGCAGTACATGTTGAAGTCATCTCAGTCGCTGAAAGTTCACAACCTCATCGACTGATTCTCTTTCTTTACCCAATACCTTTCGTATAAGACAGGACAATAAACCGACTATATATATATAACCTCGCCTGGTTAACTAGTTCACTAGTTACTTGCCGGTCCTAAGCCCGGGTAAAGAGGAAAGGTTGGCCAAAGGGCTAGCAACCATACCCCGTAAAACCAATCCAACCGCTAAAGAAACTTCGAAGCACAAAGAAAATATAACAAACAAAATTAAACCTACTCCTCCCTGGATTTGGAGAGGCGAAAGGATACCGGTTGGTAAAAGCCTTCGGGAAGCCAATTCCCCAATGTGTCTTCTCTCCCCTCGATGAAAGCGAAAGTAAACATGGAGACATGGAATGTCCACAACACGTGTGAACATACCAAGGCTGCCCAGATTGCAAACGAGATGGGAAGGTATCGCATTGAAGTGATAGGAATTCGCGAAAGCAGATGGTATGGAAGTGGACTCTCCAAACTGTCAACTGGAGAATCAATAGTCTACTCCGATATTATCACCCAGACGACAACCACCAGCACACTGAGTTTCCGAGTGGCCATCACGATGTCCCCAACAGCATTGCAGGCTCTCATCCAGTGGGAACCAATCTCCTCCAGCATCTGGATCATGACAGCAAGATTCAACTCAAAAGGAAGGAAAGTTACAATCATACAATACTACACTACGCACCTACAAATAATGCAGATGAAGAGAAGGAGGAGGAATTCTACAGACAACTGGAACCAGCACTGGACAAGACCCCACAGCAGATGGAGACATCAAAATTCTAATGGGCGACATGAATGCCAAACTGGGAGTGGATAACACAGGAAGAGAACCAACCATGGGTTGGGAAGTGCTCGGTGAAATGAACGAGAATGGAGAATTGTTTGCAGAATTCTGTGCATTCAACGATCTGGTGATTGGAGGTCGTGTGTACAAGCACAAGGATATCCACCAAGCGACATGGATTTCACCAGACACACTAAAAATCAGATCAACTTCATCTCAATCTCAAGAAAGTGGAGACGCAGTCTACTTGACACAAGATCAAGAAGAGGAGCAGATGTAGGCTCACACCACCATCTAGTGCAAGGAACCTTCCAAATCAAGTTGAAAGCATTCAAGGAAGTTGGTGATAGACCACAGTTCAAGTACAACACTCAGAAACTGAAGTACGAAACTACAAAGGAAATCTTCACGATAGCCATGAAGACAAAATGGGAGATATCGAGCAACATCCCTGAAGAAACCTGTGTGGATGAGCACTGGAAGTCTTTGAAAGAGATGTGGAAAGAAACCTGCATAACCGTATTAGAAAGGAAGAAGAAAGAAGATAAGGAATGGATTTCGACGGACACATAGAAGCTGATAGAGGAGAGGAGGATGGTGAAGCAGAAGATAAACCAGTGCAATACAGTGCGAGGATGAACAACGAGAAGAACTGAGTACAACCTATAAAACACTGGACAAAGAAGTGAAAAAGAGTGCGCGTAAAGACAAAAGATACTTCTACAACACACTGGCAAGTAAAACATAACAGGCTGCAGGTAGGAGAGACAGAGACTTGACAACATTGTATCAAATAACCAAGTTACTATCTGGGAAGAGATCAACGCAGATGAAACCAATAAAAGATGATGAAGGAAATGTAATTACCAAAGAAGAGAAATAAAGGAAACGATGGGCCAACCACTTCAAGAAGCTCTTGAATCGATCACCACCTGCACTTCGTCCAGAAATACCACCTGCAGCCCAGTCACAGAACTACCAGTGAACACAAATCCTTCAACAAAAATCGAAGTCTTGAGCGCGGGAAAGCAGCAGGACCAGATGGAATCCCACCAGAAGCACTGAAAACAGACACAGGGACAACAGCGGACAAGCTCACACCACTACTGCACAAGGTCTGGAAGGAAGGGAAGGTACCTGCAGATTGGAAGGAGGGTTACCTTGTCAAACTCTCGAAAAAGGGCGCCCTAAGTCTTTGCAAGAACTGGCGCGGAATCACGCTCCACCCTTTTCCACCCCAAGCAAAATACTAAGCCGCATCATCCTGGTGAGACTAAGGGATGTGCTGGATTCAAAATTACGAGCAAAACAGGCTGGCTGGATTCAGGAAGTACAAAACATGAGCGGACCAAATTGCAAAGCTTCGCATCATCATAGAACAGAGTATAGAATAGCAGTCAACTCTACATCTCAACCTCATCGACTTTGAAAAGGCCGTTGACAGCTTCGACCGACAAGTAATTTGGCAGTCAATCAATCTCATTCAACAACTATATGAAGACACCACATACCAGCCAATTAATTCACAATGGGAAGCTCAGTGATGATGCTTTCTAATTGAAGACAGGAGTAAAACAAGGCTGTCTACTATCACCCATGATATTCCTGATTGTGGTCGACTGGATCATGTAACAAACAGTGAGGAGTGAGAAGAGGGGATACGCTGGACCCACGAAAAGATCCTAGAGGATTTGGATTTCCCCGATGACTTGTGTCTAATGTCGCACAAACTCGAAGATCTACAGGCAAAATCCAACAAGTTGACAGAAGAGGCAAGGCAGCGAAGACGGGACTTCAAGTCAACGTAGAGAAGACAGAGGTGATGATGATACCCAACCAACGCCACCACCAAAAACAACAAGCTCCATTCACCATCAATGGGAGAAACTTAAAAGAAGTAGCCTCTTTCACCTATCCACACAGCATCGTTTCAACTACAGGCGGCATAGATGAGGACGTCAAAGCCAGCCAGGATCGGAAAGACAGGAAGACAGGCGTTCATTAACCTGAAACCAATGTGGAGATCTTCGGCACTGTACTCAGCATGTGGAACAAGATTAGTATTTTCAACACCAATGTCAGTCAAGTCAGTGCTTCTATATGGTTCAGAGACTTGGTGGGTTACGAAAAGCATTTCCAACAAACTATAGATATTCATCAACAACTGCCTAAACTGGCTTGTTACTGAAGCTCAGATGGCCAGAATAATAAGAATAAGCAACAAGGAACTCTGGTTGTTAACTAACTAACCAAGAACCTATGGCTCAACAAATATGCAGAAAGAAGTGGAGATGGATTGGGCATCCACTGAGAAGGCCAACTGGGGACATCACACGTCAGGCCAGTTGCTTGAGTGGAACCCAGATGGGAAGCGATGAGTTGGGCGTCCGTGGCGAGGGTGACATGGAGGAGATCGTGTGAGGAAGAAGTGAGAGCTTGTGGGCTGTCATGGAGCCAGATTCAAAAGCTCGCAGAGAACAGAGTGCACTGGAAACGTGCTACTGAAGCCCTATGTTCAACTAGGAACGCAAGGGACAAATAATGGCAAGAGTTATATATATATATATATATATATATATATATATATATATATATATATATATATATATATATATATATATATATATATAATCTCAACACCAAAGCATTCAGTGAAATAAAATGGATGTAAATGTATGCTGACTAGTAGTATACTACAATCAAACATATAAAACAAATAATAGTAGTAATAATATGTTTATAAACTGACCTTGAAACGTTTAGTTGGATTACTCTCTAGTAATTTAAGAAGCGATTGATTTTCATCAACTTCCAGATATACACTTCCACCATTTCCTCCTTGACCTTTAATTGCTGGACTTCCAGCTGCTCCACTGCCAGCTCTAACAAATATTCGAAGTTTGTCTATAAAATTCTTGGACATGATAGAATATTATCAGCAGAAACGACTAGCGATTACCGAATCTATATTTATTATTCTTGGTCGTGAGAAGGAAAATTTGGATTAAACTAAAATTTAAACAGTAAAATAATATCTTATTTAAATGTAAGCTATAAATATATGTACAAAATGATATGAAAACTGATCAGATCAACTTAGAATCTAATATATACACACAGAGGAGTGTATCAGTTCCGGTTACTATACTGCAAAAGAGGATGAAAAGAAGTGAGTAGAAAAAAGTGATATTACAGTACACAAAGGTGTATGAGAGGTGCAAGAATAGATAGATTAAGGTTACAGAAAATATTCAAGACTTTGAAGATGATATTTCTGTGATATAGTTAACGATTGTGAATTGTCTCCAATAATTCTTATCTTCTCGACTCCGGTCAGCCTACGCCTCCCTATTTAACTTAGACCAGCAGTTATAGACTGATGTCACATCTTGACTTATCCACCGTTACTACTTCGGTTAACAAAATACAACAAAGCATTCAGTGGCTCAGCGCACGTAACACATACAAAAGCAACATTGGTCAATGTAGGCTTATAACCCTATCGACTGGCTTGTATAATACACATGAGCCCAACCTCAAGATTACTCATGAGGCAATTTTACCATACGCAAGGAATGCTACGAGGACACCGAAGGTCGAAACCCAGAACTCTTTCCACACCTACTTTCAACGCCTCTTAGAACTGCATAATAGGATAGAACGAAATTAAGCGTAGTATACTCGTCATTATTTCATATGTAGTTAGATAACTCGCCCAACCCAAAAAATGACGCAAGTTGGCAAACGTCAGTCGGGACTTCTTTACCCGAGCTGAGATATCGTCAGTAACCAGCCCATTCGGACCGATGCAACTCCCCAAGTAAGTGAAGTGGTCAACACGTACCACTACTCCAGTCATCATTAAACTGGAGGTAGTTGCACGCCAGTAGTTAAGTGTCATCTCATATTTGAAGGGTGTGAAACGCATGCTGGACACACCAAGTTTTCTGTTGGTGTGCAGAAGACTGTATTCTGTCAGCGTCCTCACCTTATAGGATTGTTTTCTGTGTGACACTAATAGACGTCGTTACTTCAGACAAAACATAAAATAAAACTGATGGACAAAGAGTACTGAAAATTAAAAAAGGTTCATTGGTCGCTTTCGGGTGCAAATAAAACTACAACTCTACATTTGCTGTTGAGAATTTACTGACTGCCGAATAACCTTTATACTCTCTTTAATTGACTATTTTTAATCTGAAGGTGTTAGATCGTACTTGCTACTTTATATTGATCTTATCTTCGTATATAAGTGACGGTTTAACTTCAGTGAAGTTCTTGAATCTTGACATCATTGAAGTTTATGCAAGTAATATCTCGACAGTAGTTCTACCTGTTCACCCACGCACTCAACTGAGTCAAGGGATATTAACAGTGAGTCAACTATGTCAAGTGGTGATATGAAGCAACAAGTTTGAGCGACTACTCTGATGTAGAGTCAAGTGGATACCTGGCCAATAGCTGCTAACTTGATGTGGCGGTCAGGCCTGCATATCACAGTGATCCAACGAGCTAGGCTGGTGGAAGACTTGTTCCCACAAGGTCCTACCATACCAGAAAGGTCTGTTGAATAGTGGTTAGACACAAAGTAGTTACCGTTGTGGTGTAAATTACTACGCTATGATGGGGGTCTGAGGGCGAAGTTGCACTGCTGCTAGCTGGGTGGGGTGTGACAGCAGTAAAATGTTTACCTTGGATGACCAGCAGTGCTACGTTGATGCTGTCTTCGTTGACACAAACACAACCTATTCTCCTCAACTTTATCTTCCTTGTCTTCATCTCCTGATGATAGTACTAAGCCTTTTATTCCTTCCCCAACTTCACTCTGCAACCATTGTCAACGATGTAAGCCATCGAAACCTCATTCCTTGTCTACTAAGCTTGTGAGACCCATTTCTTGTAGGAGCGTTCAACGTGAGAACTCTGAGCTAAATCGGACAGCAAGCGTTGCTCGCCAGAACTCTAGAATCGCTAGTTAAGGATGTATCTTGTGTCTTTGACACACGTATACAGGACCTGAGTGAGTTTATTAAATTGACCCCACCTAGCTATAGTAGTGAATCTTCAAAATTTACCCTACAGGTATCCAGAGACCCAGTGGCTAGCTCTCGTAGACCCTTGGTGTAGGCATAACACTGAGTTGTAGAGCAGAAAGTGGGTTTCTCGACTGTATAGCATTCAATAGCCGTCTATGGGATGTTCAACTGAATGGATCTGTAAGGACTAGGAAGAATCGTGAGACCAGGTGGTGAATATTTTTAATCTCCGCCTACGCAGCCACCGACTGTAGTTCGGATGATCCAAAGGATGAATTCTACGAAAAGCTGTCAATTTTACTGCAGAAAGCAAAATGTTCAGATGAAGGTATAATGGCAGGTGACTTTAACGCCCAAGTAGGAAAGCTGAGCCAATCGGAGAGGCATATGGAAGATGTTTACGGAATGCCATGTCAACGAATCGACAACGGTGATTGCCTGTTGCAATTTTGTTCCAACAATGGCCTAGTTCTGGATAGCCCTAAATTTAGGCATAGGGAGCGACTCTCTTTATATGGCGCCCGCGTCAAACCAACAATGGACACAGACAGATCAAATTGTTATGGCCCATCCTGCAGAGGACTAGTGGAGGGTTGTCGCTCATTCGGGAATACCAGTTTGGACTCCGACTAAACCCCAGCACGCGTCCGTGTATGTCTATGTCATACAGGTGGCATGAAACAGGTAGCAGTGAGGCCAGTCTGTGGTCATTGGAAAATGAGAACGTCAATTCCGAATTTAGGGAAGAGATGGTTAAGCATTTGTCTGAACATGACACCAATGTTCATCCTAAGGAAACTTGATGTGATATTAAGTCTGCAGCGATAAAGACAATTGGTAACCTACACATGAATGTTAGCAAACTTTATTGGATCTCCATGACATCATCCTAACTGATCGATGCAAGAAGACTGATTCCAGCTAGTTCTGACCACGATGAACAGCGAAAGCAACTTAAACGTAAGTTGACCAAGAGTCTTCGCGTCGACCACGAGCAGTGGTGGGTAGCAAAAGCGAGAGAGATGGAGTAGGCTTCAGCAGTGGATAACACTCGACAACTATCTAGGCTAACTGAAGATACCAGTAAGGAGAAGACGAAGGTTAGTGAAACCACCACTGAAAAGGATGGAACACTGATAACCTCTCATGACAGGTGGCTGGAACGTTGGGCAGAACCCTTTGAATCGCAGTTAAACTGGACCTCAACAACGCTTCGTTTCCCTAACATCCAGCCTGAGTCTGCATGACGCGTAGATGTTCGTCCTCCAACTCTCCTTGAACTTGAGGAAACTGTATCAAACCTGAAACGATACAAAGCAGCAGGATCTGACAGTTGGCCACTTGAAGTCTTCAAGGATGGAGGTAGGAAGTTACTAATTACAGTGATGGAGGTTCTAGGTAGTGTATGAGAATCGCAGACAATGCCGTACTTCATTAATTATCCCAGACTATAAGAAGGGAGAGAAATCTTGTGTCCTAGATCCGAGGGTCCATAGTTATCCGATGCCTAACTGGAACTCGAGAACAGAAAACTCGATAAAAGCAGGCACGTTCCAGACTTGTATTAGGGTGCATCGACCACACTTTTACCTCGCGATAGGTTTTGGAACACAGGCAAGCCTACTGACCAGTGGCTGACATTCTCCATATTTGTTGACCTGAAGGCGGCATTTGACTCAGTTGACCGTGAGATGTGGCGTGGCAGTTTCTCACTGTGAAGGGAGTACCGAACAAATATGTCACGCTAATCAAAGCTCTCTACTCGAATTCACGCAACCGTGTCAGGGTTTGTAGAGATTTGTCATGTGACGACAACTAGTGGTGTCCGTCAGGGATGCCACTGTCACCGCTCCTGTTTAACTTCGTCATAGACATAGTAATGAACATAACCTTAGGTACGTCTGACTTCACACGGATCGATCTACTTCCCGAGGTCATTTGGTTGACTTGCAATATGCAGACGATATTGTCCTGCTAGGCAAATATGCTGACGTAATACAGGGTTTTCTGAACGCGTTGAGTAGAAGTCTGAGTTTGGGATTCGTTTCAGTCGCACCTGTTAGGTGTAAGATGATGCTCCAAGACTGGCCTGCAACTGCTGCTAGTTTAAAGATAGGAAGGGAAGTGGTGGAATGTGCCGACTGCTTCACTTACCTGAGTAGTTGCATCAGCGAGAACAGGTTGGTTGCTGACGGTCTCAGTTCGGTTGAAGAAGGCCCATTTGCGATTTGTCACCTCGCGTCACCTGTGGTGGTGTCAACTGGCGATAGATCCGACTATCAAAAAACGAGTATACTGCGCTACAGTTTGTTCCGTCCTGTTGTACGACTGCGAGACATGGCCGTTAAAAGTAGAAGATACGAAGCGGTTATAGGGTTTTAATCACAGACGTCTTCGTAGCATTGCTTGAGTAATGTGGAATCAGCGTGTGAGGAGTGATGAGGTCAGACAAAGAGTACTAGACAAGACAGGTGAGTGGATTAGTGAGATTGTGAGCCTTCATCGACTGAGGTGGCATGGACATGTACTGTGCGCCGCATGTCGAGTCACCGTCCACCTCGACGTTTTATGCTAAAGGAAGTTGTATTAGGTTTGAGGAGGGTTGATCGTAGCCAAACTGAAACATGGTACCAGTGGATGAAGTCGTTGACTGGTGGTGTGAGTCGTGTTGGGAGATGTAGACTACCTGGTTGGGGTTTTCGAGATGAAAGGAATCAGTGGTTGAGAATACCTGGTGAAATGGCTGGAAATCGGTTACAATGGGACAGATGTATTCACTCGTTGACATGTTTTAGAGCTTGAATATTTGCACTAACCGATATCATCAAATTGTTTATTCTCTCTCACACAACTTTGTTATCAGTTTTTTTCTGTGCATCTGTTCTTTGTATGTTACTGTGAAGTGTAGCAACTTGAACCGTTGTATTTGTGTGTGAGGTTCTACGTCGTTTTTGCCAGTCTTTCAGTTAGTGATTGTCCAGCTTTCTCTTCATTTTGTTCTTGGAGATGCTGTATATCTGGTACGATGGTTTTTTTGACGATTCTTCCAGTGCCACCACATTTTTGTCCTGATACCTAAACCAACACTTGTGCGTAGGGCAATGTCATCCAAAGTCTAACTGTCAACTACTTCATACTTCTAAATGACCGGTCACTTTTAATAGACTGGCTCGTGTATGCCTCAGTACTGCGGCTATGTGAATTTTGATATGAATGATGGATAGTGACTAGCAGTGGGGTCTAGGACGCGTGGTTCGCCTTACTTGGGACTCGTTAGCTGAATGCACCTGCCCTGCACCCCAGTGTGGTCCCCACTAAGACTGGAACCCCAATCACAAGGAAGCAGATCTATCCAGCTGGCGAGTTTCAAATACAAAACGTGTGTCTTGGATTCTGCTGCTAGTTACAATCCATTATTAATATCACAATTAAAAATGGCGGCAGTATTGGGCATACACACATGAGCCTATCTACTAAAAGGGACTGGTCCGTTCGCTCCAGCCAATGACGGAGACTTACAAGCTATAACATGGAGACCATGAAGAAGTTCTGTTACATATTTTATGACAAATTCAAGCAAAACACCTGATTTTAACAGATCAGTAAGCGAGTATCCATTAGTAGCAATAATGCACCAACCGAATTCGTTGTATTTACTATGACAGTTTCAAGTAAATAATTTCCTGCCTGAATGAATATCCACTTTTTGTAATGAATGTTTGTTTTAACTAATGACCATATCAACCATGAACTAACTTTGATAATCATTGTCAAACCGACATTGTAAAATATGCCACATTACTCATGTTCTTACAGTTTATTTAGAAAATAGTTCGAAACTTCAAACCATTAGAGTGGATGAGGCAGTATGTCAAAGTACTTTGGAGTCTTTCTATCAATTATAACACTAAGTTCCTCTTGAGAGAATAAACTAGTCAAGCTCTAAGTTCTGGTTTATATACATAAATCTGGCTGACACTAGGAAGAATACTAACCAATAACTTATAATCTTAAATTATTCCATCACAAGTTTTCGCATTTGTTGGCAGCATATCAAGGGATAACAAAGTAATGAAACGATAATAGGAATAATTAGAGAAATTGAAGGACAGGCCAAAATTATGGAACGCACCGACCACTTAATACTATTAATCAAAGGGATGGGAAAAACCATTTAACGATGTGAAGTGTATATTAACAATAAAAACTGTCTTGTAAGGTAATTTTTATAACCGTGCTTAGTAAATATCTTTTTGTTCATTAGATCGTCGATCGAGAAGTCAAACTAGGTGAGACTCTTACATTCGTCGCTACACTATTTCATTGTGATTCTGGCACTGATTGTTGTGTCGACCACCAATTCTGGATGAGACACGTACTTATTCCCTTCATATGACTTGTTATTTTAGAGGAATGATTAGCAGAACGATAGGCAAGATCAAAAGTTAGTCTTTCGTATGATAACAACTGGTTTGTATGGATTATCGCTACAAATAGTGTCAGATGTTGTAGAATAGGCATCCAAGCACTTGAATCCACGTTCCTACAACCCCTTACAAAACCTTTCGTTGCAGGTATCTACCAGCCCAAGTACCGTCCTGGAAAATGAAGTGAGTTACTGGTCTAGTTGAAAACGCCTTAATCACCAGCAGGGGAAAAACGTTCTTGATAAGAGAAGATATAGTTGAAGCAAACTACCACATCATATTTAAAAGGTTTCGGATGCTAGTTGAAGGTAGGATAGAGACAATCTGAAGACCAAAGGAAGTAATAAGTCGAAGCAGAACTACGGAATTTCGCTGGCACAAAAATGGGGACCTATCCGCTGTTTCTTTGCTGCTCCATGACGCAGATCCCAGGTTTCACACCTTGAGATCAAACTAATAATCTGTCATGGACCTGGTGCTTCTTTCAAAACTCCGGACTCTAATTTTTTTCCCCTTCTACAGGGGGTTGGAACAAATAATTTAAGGGCGATAGTTGACGATTTGGAAGCTTGTTTCTTTTCACATCACATTCTAGGTAATTTATTTTCACAAGGTTACACAGGTAAATATCTTCATTGTATGTACTCTTACTTCTACCACAAGCAACAATTGGAAACATTGACAAGCTTCTTCGCACAGTTGAAAACCATATCTCCTGTGTTTTATTCTATTTCTGCATTAAAAATCAGGAAGAAACAAACTTATCCTAGTGAATTCGAAGTCATTTAGTAGTCTCTAGGTGACGCGGTTTTACAAGGCAACATTTAAGTATTGCTTTCAAGTGGGAACTAATTAGTTCCAGCGTCACAACCGTACCAACGCTGATCCAATATTTCCACAGATACTAGCACGTTAAAAAGAGTGAATTAATTCGAAAATGTTAAGAACATGTAGAAAACCAAATTTCGTCAATTGTACACTCTTTACAGCATGTGTACATGCATGCATACCACTCAGTGATAGCAATAACAGAATGATGCATTTAGTGTCATAATATTTCAATAACTTTGAAAAAGAGTTAGTCTAGCCGCTGTTTTGCAGCTCACTGGATTCAACAGAAATCCGAAACTAATAAGAAGAGGAAGGGTGACAGAGAAAACATGTCAAAACCACGACCTTGAAGTAAATTTGCGTTTAGATACCCGCTGAAACCAATATCAATAGGCGAGGAAACTTGTAGTTGTTGAGCTCTCGTTTCTGGGCCATGAGACCTAGTTCATTTTGATCACTTGCACCCATTCGGTTGTCGCGGATGTCTTAACAGTCTACATGCCTATAGCTTCCGAGGTAGTGATTATCTAATTGAAGTTCAAATGGTTCACATGGTTATTTTGGTTGGTTGTGGTTAGCAGAAGAGTCCAGGGAGCGCGTTTCATCCTATTTGGGACTCATGTCAGTACATCCACATAGGAGCTCATGTGCTAACAGAGGTCGAACAATTTGATCCAACAAAACAACGGAGAATAACTAGCATATCAATAATTAGGCCCCAATGTTTGTCAATGGAATAGAAAAGAATTTCGCCCAACTGGCTTTCACATTTAGAATCCCCAGATCACAACTCTTTGTGGCTGTTAAGCTGTGGGCAATGAAACGGGATAGTTAAAGGCAGAAATTTTCATTTGCAAATTGTTGTTTGACTTGTTCGGGTGTGCAACAGAGTTGTCGATAAAATCAACTAACCTACTGCATTTCAAGATTTGTAAGCGCCTGCAAGTAAGTGTTAGGTGTTACCCAAGAAGTAGCACGAAAACCAGGGCGGGCATTAAGTGATAAAAGAGGAGTGGAAAGTGCTAATGAAAAAATAATTGCTACTAGTAAGAATGTGGAGAAGGGAGAGGCCCTTTTGCAGATTATAGGGTTGGGGAATGCAGGGATGCATGAGCATTCCTTTAGTTGCTTGTGGCGAATTTGGGCGGTGAGCTGTTTGCACTCGCATACTTATGTAGCAATAATTTATAGGGCTCAGCTGATGTGACTGTGGCTACTTTTTTCGACAGAGCCTTCCATAGGGTATACACCCGGTGCAGGAAAAGAGTATATCTCAATCTTGTCTTTGTCCCATGGTGGGTTATGTGAGTGTAATTCCTGCGGGGCTGTCAGTTATGGGCTTGTAATGTTGGCCTGTTGGGGTGGTCTACTTGGTGGCTGATCTTGTACGCTGTTATTAGGTCGCCTCTTTTCCTTCGATAGCCCAAGGTGAACAACTTGAGCTTTCTAAGGCATTGCGCATATACTTTGCATGCTAGTTTGACACCTTGCTTTGTCTCCCTTCTCCGCGCATCCTTAAGGGTTTCTTAGTGTGTCGTCTAACATATGCGCTAGATACTATGAGGATTAGTTCGGGCAATAGGGCTCCACGTTGCCCCTCAGGTGGTGCACGATCGTGTTTGCCCTTGCAGCCATTTGCTTATAGTTAGCGCCAGTATCCATTGTGTCAGAGATGTCAAGTCCTGGGTCGTTCTCCGTGGATACCCTGGCGATTGCACGTCTTTCGTGGGTGTAGCTGGTCTTCATCGCTTCCGATGTGCTAGGATATATCGCTCTGCATCCCTCCACCTCGAAGCTCAAGCCATTCACGGCTGACCAGGAAAGCAGCTGCAGCAGATGGCACTGTAGGATCCTGGGTCCCCCTTTCCTACCTACTGTCCTCCATATCCTGATACAGTCGGCAATTAGGAGGATGGACGAGTAGACTCGAGCGGGATGGTCGCTGGTGAATAGTAAGAATAAGAGTTGTTAAGAGCTAACTCCCCGAGAAACTCCTGTCCTCTAACTCCTCCACAACTTTCCAATTCTGTCCACTTTGATAGGGAACTTCACGTCCTCTAAGTATGCTGTTGACCATGCTATGAGCGCTTTAATGGTACTAGCTTATGCAAGTCATACCGTAGTTTGGGGTGCCATCAAAGCTTTGGCCATGTCCAGAGATAAACTGAACTGGTCGCCTATTGTTCCTTCTATTAGTGCGGCCATCCCTATCGTTCGTCAAGTTTGCGGCACGTAGCCAACCGGTTCAGAAGCCATTTTGGGTGAGTCGGATGATGCTGTTTCCCTTTAAGTAGACCCAAACAGCATGTGCAGACAGGCTTTTTAGTACCTTGGACGTATGGGGGTGGTATGACTGTTTTCTATCTCTTCCCCTGAAGACTGTTTAAAGGATAGCACACTTCCATTGTTTAGAAAGTTGACTTACCTCCAACGAGTGCGTGAATGGATTACATTTGGGTGTCATGGGCATGCGTGGTTCCCCCAGGGTCGGAGACGAGCAAGTCGTTTACACCACCCCCACCATGGAAAGGTGTTGCGTGGCGGCCTCAAAGTTATCTCCCAAGGCCAAAGGTTTAGAGTGTCCAGACAACCTTCTTGGAGTAGTATATAGCTCACTCTTCTAGAACCAAACACTGTTAAGTTTAGAATGAACCATTATTTAAAAAATTAAGTATTCGCGAAATAGCCTCAACGGTGTCCGCAAGTATCTTTAGTCCTGTGAGTTTTGATTTAACGAATGAGCACCCACATGTTTTCACACACTCACTTTTCTACAGAAATATAGAGTTATGTCTAGATGCTGTTGCTCCCGTGAAAACAGTTAGGGTTTATAAGGAGCCAGACCCATATATTCCTAAAATATTCCGCAAAAAACTTAGGAAGTCATCATCACATTGCCACTCGTCGAAAGACTTCATGTCACTGCACTTAATTCATGAGACTTACGAATCTATCAAGACATTAAGTGCGAGACACGCAGTAAACAAAGAGATCGTTGCTCTCAAAAGTGGCTCTAGAATACACAAGTTGACATCCCTTCTGAGTAAACGTCTGAAGTCATCAACGGATGTAGCCTATCTACTACATAATGGGGTGGTACACAACGATCCCCTCAAGATTAGTGAACTGTTTAGCGAATCATCCACTAATTTCAACCCTAATGTCCTCAACCCCACTAGCTTTACTCCAATTACCGCTAGATCATGTACAAGAGTGGAGTTCACTGTCAAAAGTACCACTGAGGCTATCAAAAGCCTGAAACCATCGACAGGTACGGGGATAGATGGCCTAAACTCAATAGTCATCAGAAATAGTGGTGATGATATGCTGCTGTTCTTGCTTAAGACATTCACACTATCAACGGAAAGTGGGGAGTATCCTAGCGAGTGGAAAACCAGCTTTATAGTTCCTCGCTACAAGTCCGGTGACAAAGCGAATTCTGGCAACTGTCAGCATAACACCAGTCGGCTCCAGAATCATGGAAAAAGTGATTAAGAGCGGCATGTCCGACTGCCCACTTAGCGAAAACCTCATCACAAAGTCTCAGCACGGTTCCGTTAAATACAGGTCTTGCGTTACTTGCCATTTCGACTTCTTCAATCTTATCACTAGTAGCCACGAGGCACGTAAAATCATTGTTCTATACTTTGATATATTAGAGACACTTGACAAGGTGCCACACGGTATTCTTTTTGATAAGCTACAATCGATTGGCATCCATGACCCTTTACTTCATTGGCTCAAATCATTTCTCAATGATCGGAGCCAAATCGTCAAAGTGAATTCTATGCAGTCTACACCTAGGCTCATAACTAGTGGAGTAATATAGGGTAGTGTCCTTGGACCTTTATTATTCATAGCTTATGTTAATAGTGTGTGCAAGTGCTTCACTGTAAGGGAAACATTCCTATAAACTGATGACCTTAAGGTTGTATACTCGTGTCACACCCATGAACCAGGTAATGCGCTATCTACTGCTCGACAAGAATTAGGTGAAGTTGCTAAGTGGTGTGGCGAGTCCCATCTCCAGTTCAACATTGGTAAATGTGGTTGGCTTAGCATAGGCAGCGATAACCTGGATGTGTCTCTCGAAGTATGTGGGCAAAAGCTACCTAGACGTTCGTCAGTGCTAGATCCTGGTCTTAGACATTCCAGTGACTTAAAATTCTCTGAGCAGACGGCTTGTATCACATCTAAGTCATTGTCCGTAGCTTCTATGGCACCGAATCAAGGGTCCTACTCTACAAAGTGAGCATCCGCCCAATTTTAGAGTACTGCCCGTTTATCTCAAGTGGCCTTCGTATAAGCGACAAAGGAAAAATTGAAGGAGCACAACGCCACTTTACACTAAGAACACTAGGAGCTGACTGCAGCCTGGACTACATCTCGCGATGCAACATAATAGGACTGGAACCTCTCTGGAAGAGGCTACTTAGGATGAATCTGATACTTTACTATAAATTACTTCGTAAGCAAGTGCACTCATGTGGCCAGGAAATTAAAATAGTTGTAACACCTACTCACTATTTGCGTAATCACAACCCATTAGCTGAAAATGAGTGTTGTAGGACCAAATTGCGAAGAAACTTCCTCCTTAATAAGTTCTCACATCTGGAATAAACTTCCTGAGGAAATGCGTACTGCAGGTTCATTATCTACCTTCCATTCTTCACTTAATGAGCTCCTAGTAGGTGATCAGTCTATTACTCGCCTAGGCACTGTCTATACATTCTGGCCTACTGGAAACATGCTAAGACCTTTAAACGTATGGAGTAAAGCTGTCATAAACCTCAAGTACTCATTACTCCAACGGACTCATAAAGGGTGTTTGATTACCAGTCCATCTGGTTGGATTGTGCAGTACAAACACATAGCCAGTGCTCCCTTTAAGTTTACCAACGAAAGCTGCCTATCTAATAACCCTTGTGAACTTCATATAAGAAAAAAAGGAAGATTCATCCTCATATGAATAAATTGAAGTTTACACATAACTTGAAAGACTAAAAAGACAAGGACTTCCCTCCTCTCAGTTTGTTTTACGTGGTATTCCATTGCCCAGTTTCTCCTTGCGCTTTCTTTTCTCTTTTCTTTTCAGTATCAGCCTGACGAGAAAGTCCCGAGCATTAGTTTGATCAAAAAGTATTAACTTACTGGAAATTCTACTTCGCACCTAATGCTGGAAACCGATGTTAGAGGTATCCAACTGGCTCGTCCCGATTTTCCTGTTTCCTGAACAGCTTAACAACCAACTCACCTCCCTACTAGTGCCCTAAATGCTACCACATACGAAACCCCAAGCACAATAACTGATCTCAGATTTCTGGTCCGTGACAAATGCAGCGGAAATCTGGATAAACAATCAAACTCGATAGATG